GCATGGAACCTAGTGCAGAGCCTGGGGCCTGTGCTCTAAGAGCTATTAAAGCATGTATTCCTGTCCTTCACTCAGCTTATAGGGACCCAGCATCTCTGGAAACCACAGATCAAAAGCCAGTCAAGTGGCTTCTATGACAGGAGCAGCTGTGCCTAACCCGATTTTCCTAATTATCCTCTAAATGGGATGCATCCTCCAAGTCATGGAGGCTGTGCGCACTGCATACTAAGAGGCAGAGGAGCATGTCTGCAGAGATGGGATCGAGGTTCTTATTTCTGCATCCATTTAGGTGCTTTCTTTGGACTAGATTAGTGTTTATGTTTGCTGAAGTCTGGCATTTTGGAAAGTCTTACTTGAACCGTATCAGACATTGAGGGAAGCCGGCCAGGAGGGAGAGCTTTAGGTTTTGTGGGGAGGATTGGGGAGGGTAGGCCAACATTTCCCCTTTCTCTCTATAAAGAAAATGCAAATGAAACCATATCCATCAAAGAAGTGTGTGTGTGTGTGTGTGTGTGTGTGTGTGTGTATGTTTCTGGATTCACTCCTGGGTGGGACACGTGTATATGTATGAATGTGCATATGGAAAACCAAGGTCAACCATTCCTCAGAACCTGTCCATCTTTCAAAACATCTTTAAGGCAGAGCCGTGGTGGCTCCCACCTTTAATCCCAGCATTCAGGATGCAGAGGGAGATGGATCTCTGTGAGTTTGAGACCAGCCTGGTCTACAGAGCAAGTTCCAGGATAGCCTCCAAAGCTACCCTATCTTGAAAAACAACAAAAACATCTTTAAGATTTCCTTCTTTATGTCTATGTATATGTGCACATGTAGGTATGTCCTCTTGAAGAACAGAAGAGCTTGTCAGATATCCTGGAGGTGGAATCATGGGAGGATGTGATGGGAACCAAACTTAGGTCCTCTGCAAGAGCAGCAAATGCTTTTAACTGCTGAGGTGTCTCTGCAGCCCACCCATCCATCTTTTTTGTTGTTTGACATAAGATCTCCCACTGGGACCAGGGTTTGGGATTAATCTAGATAGGCTGGTCAGTGAGCCCCAGGGATTGGAGCATCTTTGCCTCCTAAGTGCTGGGATTGCAAACATATACCTCCACACACAGCTTTTGATCTGAATGCTATGGGCTGAACGCAGGTCCTCATGCTTATGTAGCAAGCCATCTTCTCCTCAGCCTCCACAGATGTTTTCAGTTGCTGTCATTGGTATTTATGGATGAAAATCCATTTTTAACCATTGCAAGGATCTCAAATTGTCTTCCAAACTGTATTGTATAGGAAACCACCTCATCTTGCAGTACACAGGGCGTGAAAAATAGTGTGAGTGTTCAGCTCCCAGCCCAAGAGGCTGCAAAAGGCATCCCTCACCAGGGAAGGTGCTACAAACTTCACCATGAAGCTAGTATCACATATAGTGGGTTCTGGTTTATACAACCCAAATGTCAGGACCCCCTCTGTCCTAGATAGCCCATGTCAGTTTCCCTGACAACAAACATCCCATCTGTGGCTTCTCCTCTTGAAATATAGGAGCCCCTGCCAAGAACTGGGAGTCGGCTCCTTTTTCATGATGTATGGCAATTTAAAAAGCAGGAGTAGGGCTGGAGAGATGCCTTAGTTAAGAGTATACACAGCTTGTCTTTTCTATTGCTATGACAAAACACTATGACTAGCTGGGTGGTGGTGGTACATGCCTTTAGTCCCAGCACCTGGGAGGCAGAGAAAGGCAGATCTCAGTGAGTTCAAGGCCAGTCTAGTCTACAAAGTGAGTTTCAGGATAGCCAGGACTATTTCACAGAGAAACCCTATCTGGAAAGACAAACAAAAACAAAAGAAACAAAGCAAAACACTATGAGCAAAGGCAACTTATAAAGGACAATATAATTAGGGCTTATAGTTCAGAGGCTGAGTGCATGGCCATTATGGTCACGGGAGCATGGCAGCAGGCAGGCAGACAGGCAGGCAGGCAGGTAGGCAGGGTGCTGGAGCAATAGCTAATAGCTTACTTCTGATGGACAAGCATAAGACACTGAGAACTGAGAAGCTAACTGGAAATAGCATCAGATTTTGAAATCTCAAAGCCAAATCCTGGTGACATGCTTCCTTCAATAAGGCCACACCTCATCCTTCCCAACAGTTCCACCAACTGGGGACTAAACATTCAAATATATGAGCCTATGGTGGCCGTTCTCATTTAAGTCACCACACTGCTCTTGCAGAGAAACTGCATTTGGTTCCCAGTACTTAAAACCTACAACTCCAGCTCCAGGGAATCTATACTTTCTTCTGAGGCGCCTGCACTCATGTGTACAAACCCACACAGACATTCACACATATACATAATTAAAAACAAAATAACTTTTTAAAAAAAAAGGCAGGATTCCACAGTATTCAAATCAGAAACTATCAAAGGAATTTGAGACTTTTGTGTTCTTGCTGGCTACTAATGAAATAGTCACATCGCTTTTCCAGTCAGTGGCCTCTCCCCGTACCCAGGATAGCAGCTAATGCGTCAGTCTCCCACCTCGGCTGTCCTGTGTTTTACCAGGACCAAGACAGCCCTCTTCCCTGTCCTTTCTGGTTCCCAGTTCTCAGTTCCTTCTCGCTTCATCCTGGCCAGTGATCCTCCATTTGGGGTGCACTGAGACCTCATGAAACAGCGTGAATGTCTTGTGTGTACTCTTTTAGTGGAACAGATTCTAAGAAGTCCTGGAAGCCAGAGGCATGACAGTCTGTTTCCAGCTCTCAGGTCCCAAGGTGTCTGCCTTGCTCAGCTATGTCCGCATCTCACAGGAGATCAGTAAGTGCATTGTACTGATCATGTACTGTGCAAAGTTTGCCAATGTCCTCTGAAAGTTTTCTCCTCTCTGTCCCCCTCCCATCTGCCATGCCCTTGTCATGTATGTTAATTGTTTTTCCTGTTGTAAATGCAACTTAAGGATTTATTTTGGCTTGCAGTTTGAAGGTTCAGTCCCTCAAGGTGCAGCAGGCATGGTGACAGGAGTGTGAGGCAGCCATTCAGGCTGCACCCACAGTCAGGAAGCAGAGAGACAAATGCTGCTGTCCAGTTCCCTTTCTCCTTTGTATTGGTCAGGACTCTCTGGAGCAGTGGCTCTCAACCTTCCTAAAGCTGCAACCCTTTAATATAGTCCATGATGTTGTGGTGACCCCCCCAACCATAAACTTATTTTCATTGCTACTCCATAATTTTCCTACTGTTATGAATCAAAATGTAAATATCTGTGTTTTCTGATGGTCTTAGGCGACCCCTGCAAAAGGATCATTTGACCCCTAAATGGATCAGGAGGCACTATTGCATTAGAGGAACAAAACTGTGTGTGTGTGTGTGTGTGTGTAATTTATTAGAGTGGCTTATAGGCTGTGGTCCAGCTAGTCTAATAATGGCTGTCTACCAGTGGGAAATATAAGAATCTAGTGCTTGTTCAGTGCATGAGGCTGGATGTCTCATCTGGTTTTCAGTATGCGCCCGAAGTGAGCTTGTAATGCCAGTAAAGGAATAGATTTGCCAGCAAGAACAAGGGGAAGCAGGGAAAGGAAAGAAAGCTTCCTTCTTCCATGTCCCTTCTACAGGCTGCCAGCAGAAGAGGTAGCCCAGATTAAAGGTGGATCTTCCTCATCTCAAAAGATCTGAATTTAGGATAGTTCTTCCCACCTCAAGTGTTGTAATTAAAGAAAATCCCGCCCAGGTGTGCCCAGCCAGGTAGGTTTTAGCTAATCTCAGATGTGGTCAAGTTGATAACCAAGAACAGCCAGGACACCTTTTTATTCAGTTTGGAGTCCAGCTCCTGGGATATTGCTGCCCAGAGTAGGCAGTCTTATTAACCATCACATGGGATACAGGGAGATTGCATTTCTGAGATTTCCCTGATCCTGGGGTCTCAGGACCTCCCCCCCCCCCAGCACTGAGGAGTAGGCCAGGGAAAGCTAAATGACCTATGCTGCCAGGAGGGTGGTTCTGTAGAGATAGGAGCCACCAGGCCCTGGGCTGGGCGAGAGATGACTGTCCCTGCCTGAGTTTTCTTTATCTCCTAGTGAAAGGAGGCTATTCTTTTCCTTGTCTCTGTAAACCATGCCTCCCTAACAATCTTCTTCCCTGTTTCTTCCTAAATCCCGACCCTCAGTTCATTTTCCTCCTACTGGAGTCATCACTGTCCCTGTTCCACCTTTGGATTGTAACTCCATAGGCAGTGGGCATCCCATCCCCCATGACAAATTCCAAGGGGAGGCCAGCTTGGTCACCCCTTCTGCCAATGTGAATTGTTAATATTTCCGGCCCTGAACTGAAATCGCGTACCAGAGGGAGTGAGGCTCTGAGCCTGCACAAAGGGAGAGAGAATCATCCCCACCCCACCCCACCCCACCCCCACTCCTATGATTAGGTGTGGCAGCTTCATCCCAGGCCAGGTCCTGATAGTTCTTATCTCTGCTGAGCCATGCACCCACCATCCTCCTACAGCCACAGGCCATTTGGCTCTCCCTCTGCCTCCCTCTGCCTGAGCTCTCATGCTGTTACTACCCCCCAAAGTCTCTAGAAACCCTTTCACTTCCCTCCTAGTAAAGCTGGCCTGGCCTCGTCCCTGTTCATCATCTCCTATTCTCAGGTCAGCAACAGTCAATTTTGCGCAATTCAAACCTGGCCATGTTAGCCTAGCATCCTTCCCTAGGCCTGCATTCTTCCTCCAGGTGCCCTCAAGATTCTTCCTGCTGGGAGCTGGCCTGTGGTTCCCATAAAAGCCTTTGCCTGTGTGTGAGGTCACTGTCCCACAAAGACACCCACTACACCCCAAGCATCGACCTAATAAGGGACGTCCGGAATCCTGGCGGAGACGCAACAGCTGACTTTACATATTTGTGGGACTAATTGCTTCTCGGCTTCCAGCACGCGGAAGCCGCACAAAAGGGGGCGATGGTGCCTGGCACCACGCTCAGGGTCCCACTGAGTTGCCAGTGGGGAGCTCAGCTGCAGCACCAGACCTCGAGGTCAGTAGGCAGGGGCGGGGAAGCCGCAGCCGCGCCCTCCTGGCCACTCCCCGGCCGGCGGTGGGTGGCGCGCACTCGCTTATGTCCTCCGCGCCACCACGATCACCCACCCCGCGGGCTCCCAAGATGAAGAAGGATGAGTCTTTCCTGGGCAAGTTGGGTGGCACGCTGGCGAGGAAGAAGAAGACCAGGGAGGGTGAGTGCGCCCCCGTGTCCTCTTGGCGCCAGCCCGGTGCCAGCGATATCCCCTGGGTGTCTGCTCCCTATCCGCTCCGGTTGCGCCAATGAGCCCTCCCTCCGCGCCCAGGCTGCACTGCCTGCGACCTTTGGGACAGGCCGGTCCCTGTCCCTGCGACCTTTACAGAGCTGGCCCTGTGCCCAGGACCTGCGTCTTGCTCTGGACACAGGCTGAGCAGGCTATGGTTCTCGTGCCTACCCTAGTGGTGTGACACTCTCCGTCACAGTGATTGGACACATGCGTGGTGGGGAGGACTGCTTGATGCCTGCACGCATGGCTTTGTCCCTGAGCTAGGAGTCAGTCAAAGGGCACAGACACAGGCCAGGAGCCTGGGAAGCCTGGAACCAGGGCCATGAACCCCCTACTCCCACCCCAGGCCCTCAATCATGCTCGCTGAGCAGGAAAGTAATTTTAAAACGACATCCTTTTACTTTTTAAACTTTAATAAAACAGAATTTCAAGGGCTGTAACTTCTTCTCCTGGGACAGTGCCTCAATCATACTGCAGTTCCTAGCCCTCCCCTTGCAGAGGCATTCCTGACTTTTCTATTGTTTTGGCCTGGAGGCTCCTGCCCTAGGGCTGAGGTTCCAGGCGCTCCCAGGGAATGGGAGGGGCTTGCTGAGAGAAAGGGCAGGTAGAGAGAAGCCCCAGAGCCTGACTTCCTGGGGATTAGTTGGCTAGGGATCATCTGTTAGACTCCTCAGAGGGTCTACTCCAGCCACTGGGACCAAGCCTACTCCTAGAAAGCCTTCCTGGACCTTAAGGGGCAAGTTAGTCCCAGAATGTTGACTGATAATCACCCCCTGGGCCCGAATGACAGCCGTGATATATTTACTCTTAAAAGAACCTTCAGGCCCTAAATTATGGGCAGACTCACTCTGGCCTTTCAAGGTATCTTGAAAGGCAGGGCATGTAGGGAAATGCAGAGCTTGTCTGAAGTGTTGTACTTACCTACACTTTGATAGAACCCATTGAAAATCCTGTGGCCCCCACGCCCTGCCCAGACTTGCATTCCCAGGCCTTCAACCCTACAATGCCCTTTACCAAACTAGATTGTCCAGTTCCCGGAGGTCAGGCAGGCCTGATCTCCTTTTCCCTCCCCTCTCAAATCTTCCCTTGCAGGTCCTCCAGGTCGGGCCTTGCATTGCATTCATCTTTCCAGGTCTCCCAACTGAGAAGGAAGCAGTTGTCCCCATTGCCTGTCTGGTGTAGTGTAGTCATTGTGATCCTGCCTACAAGTCTTCTTATTACACGCTATGACAAGGGTGGGCCTGCGTTCGTTCCATAATCTGGCTTTGTTTTTGTTTTTGAGTTGGGGTTGTGTTGTGTTACCAAGTTTGGACTCAAAAGTCCTGGGTTTAAGTGATCCTCCTGCCTCAGCCTCCCTTGTATTGGAAACTGTGGGTGTGTTGCCACCCGTCTGTGGCTTATCATCGATGTGAATCTGATGTGGTCTGGATACTGTCCAAACCTTCAAAGTAGAGGGGAGGCTCAATCCTTCATGGCCCTGGGATGGACGCCATACTGTGGAAGCCAATAGGAAGTCCCATGATCCTAAGCTGTAATTGTCAGAGGGTGAAAAGTGAGGGTGGTGATGCTGGGGATAAAACCTAAGAAAGAAAATATTTCATACAAAAGCACTGTAAGTGTGAATGGTTACAGTTTCTGTGTGTTCCATACGTGCACGTGAATGTACAGGGCAGAAGTCATACTGGGTGTCTTCCTCAATGTTCCTCATCATCTATCTGTCGTCTGTCTGTCTGTCTGTCTGTCTGTCTGTCTGTCTGTCTGTCTCTTCTTACCCTGACTGGCCTGTTGTTATGAGTGGTTTTTCCCCTGCCGGTCTGGTCCCACCTCAGCACCGGCCTCAAATAACACACAGAGATGCTGTACTTGATATAAAGCTGTTGGCCAGTTACTAGTTTCTCTGTCTTAAATATTAACCCATTCCTATTAATCTAAGTATTTCCACGTGGTCTCATCTTACCGGAGTGAGGGGCTGGCATTCTTTTCTCCCCATCCTCCATCTTGACTCTCCTCCCTACTCCTTCCTCTCTCCTCCTTGTCTCCTAGTCCTGCCTATCTTGCTTTCCTATTGGCCAACAGTGCTTTATTCATTAACCAACATGAGAAACATGTTTACAGAATGACATCTCCCATCAGGCCTGTGACTTGTATAGCTAGGCTGGCTTGGAATTTAAGAGACCGGCTGGTTTTGCCTTCTGTGTGCTGGGGTTAAAGATGTGTGCCACCCCACTGGATTCCATCTTGTTTTTTGAGTCAAGGTCTTTCACTGAACCTGGAGCTCTTTGATTTGGATCAACAGGCCCCAAGGTCCTCTTTCGTCACCTCCCTTGACTTGAGATTACAGGCGAGCAACACTTACTTGGCTTTTGACTTTTTAAAAATTATCAGTGCTGGGGATGGAACTGTGACCCACATTCAAACACTTTACCAACAGAGCTGCCTTCCCTGCCTTTTACAGCCTTGATAGGTAGTACTTAGACTACTGAAACATGAGGGATGCACAAGCCAGGTAATGAGCTGGCCTCGGTTTCCAATCCTAAATCCTTCTCTTTGCTTGTATGAGATCATGTGTGTCCAGAAGACAGAGAACCAGTCTGGCCCAGTTTAAATACACCCAGAACCCCAGCAGTTCCTCTATCTTCTGATTCCACTGGTGTTAACCATCCTTGTGAGTTAGCTGGGTCCTCTGCCTTGGTTCTCAAGGTTGGAGTACCTCTTACCCCTGTAACTAGAAAGCCACAAACCTTAATTGGTCTCTGAGGCAGGAGTGGAGGGTAAGATCAGCCTTAGAAGGGCTGAGTGGCTTCCATGTGATCCTCTTGGGAAGCGGAGAAGGAATGGAGGGGCAAATGTGAAGACTGTGTAATGAGGTCTTGAATAATTGAGCGTTGAGAGCTGCCAGTATTTCTGTAGATCTGTTTCCTTGGCAACTGGCCCCCCTGACTGCTCTTAGCCTTGACTTTGGGCCCTGGGAGCTTATGCATGGATGCCTGCTAGGGAATGACCAGGGGGAGGGCATGGGGCTCCCCAGCCTTCCAGCCAAACACTTAGCTGTTTCTCCTCCTTTGTCTGAAAGTCCAAGGTGGACTGTGAACATTTCCTGAGCTGAGGACCTCAGAAGTGGGGAGGGGATGGCTGGTGAAATTCAAGGTTCAGGGACGTATGGGCAGTTAGCCTCACCTGCCTCTCAGAGTAGCAAAGAGGGGACAAATGTTCCCTCATGTTCCAGGAGGTGGGGGTAAGAGATGGAGCATGCTGGGGCGCCCAGCACAGGAAGTGTCTAAGAATGAACAGGGTGTGATTCAGCCCAGTGGAGGCACTATGGTTTCATGGGGTGGCCTGGTCAGAAAAGGGAAGTGTGACTAATTGTGCTCATTGGAAAACGGAAGGGAACGCCTACAACACTCAGGCTTCCCTATGGGGAGTATGAGTTTGTGCCCTGAGAGGTCAGTAGCCAGCTAAACCCTCTGGAGGTCAAAATATAGAGGGGAAGATACTGAGGAGAGATGCCCCCACAGGGTCCCCTCGTACTGCCATATTGGTCCAAGGGTGCAGCTGGGGCTGGGCCTGCAACTGCTGTGTTTAAATCCTAGAGGCACAGCTGTCATCCAGTGAGGCTCTGGTTGATAAGGGGACAGGCTCAACTCCTCAAGAGACCCTTCTGCTTCTACAGGCATCTAATGGTAGACACCACTCCCCAGGGACCAGTGTTGAGCTTTTTCAGAGAGCCCAGGCCACAAAAGGAGTGGACAAGAGGTTTCTAGTCTTCAATTGCCTTAAGACACACATATGTAATGTATGATACATCGATACTATATAGTTATACAATCTATCCTCTATCTACTCTATTAATTGTTCATCTATATTATCTATCATCTGTCAATCTATGTATCAGTCAGTTATCTATATCTTTATCTATCTATCTACCTATATTCATCTATTTGCATGAACTTTTGGTTCCTAGTAAGATGGAATGTGTGTCCCCCTGCCCCCCCCCCCAACCCTGCTCCTTAGTTCTTCTGGCAGTACAGAACTTCACCACAATTGTAAACCAACTTATGCTTTTGTCTCGAAGCCAACAGTGGACAGTGGGGCTACTCTCATCCTGAATGTTCGCAATGTAGAATAAAGGATTCCTACTTCCTGGTCACCAAGCAACGCCACTTTTCCAAGATCCCTTTCTTTGCACTGCTTGTCTGACCCCCCTTCCCCAAGGTCCCTAAACACTTGGATTTTTTTTTTTATTTTATTTTAAACAATCTCTTTTCTAGATCTTATCTAGAATCACGAGCAGAAGTCAAGTGCATGAAGCTTTTCATACTGGCTACCTCCACTCACTGTCCAGCTAAGTTTCCTCTGTGTGGCTATGGGCCACTAAGCCTGCCTCAGTTGGTGCTGAGAGTTCAACTCTGGCCTTTGTTCATGCTAGGCGAGCATGCTACCCACTGAGCTGCAGCCCCAGCCACAAACTTCTGAAACTACTCAGTGATATGAAAGAAGAAAGAAAATGCCACAAATTCTCCCACATCCCAGAGGGTCCTAGTAGAAGGGAAGGGGAAGCCACTGTCCCCTGAGGCCCAGACCCTAGGGGAAGTGTTGCTCCTAGACCTGAATACAGGAAACAGGTGACAGACAGCTGGCTGTTTACTTGGGACCTCAGGAGCCAACCTGGCTCAAGCCCCTTAGTTAGGACAACAAGGCCTGGTTGGGGGAGGGGTGAATAGGTGTGGGGATCTTAGGGACACACTGCTAGATTTGAGAGGCTGGGATTCCAGCTGGAGCTAGTAGCCTTTCTAGTTTGCATCTCTGTTGCTGTGATAAAACAGACCAAAAGCAGCTTGAGGGAGGAAAGCGTTTATTTGGTTCACACTTCCTGGTCACAGTGAATCATTGAGGGGAGTTGGGCAGAAACTAAAGCAGGGGCCACAGAG